TCTCTGTCCCTTTGTTCATCCTAATAACATATATCTTGGCATTCCCAGCTACATATATGTTCTTCTTCATAGCCTTAGAATTAAGAATGGAGATTGGTCATGATGGCAGACACCTGTAATCCCAGTTCTTGGGAGCTTATAAACAGGGATCAATGCGAGTCTGATCTATGTATGCAGTGAAACCCTGAACACCCTGAAGACATTTAAAATACAGAGAAAAAAAGAATAAGTGAGAAGCGAGGGAATTGGTGACTGCACTGTCATTAATCCACTTAGGAATTCATAGGGTAATGGGCTTCCAGAAACAGATTGTGTTATAAAAGTAACTCTCTCCAATTGATTCATGATTCAGTTTTAAGTAATACAAGGTTTAGAACTTGGTTGTGTGGATTTTAAGTGTAGTCCAGAATGAAGTCTTATCACAGCCTTTTATAGTAAGTGATGTGTACGTTTTTCTCTCCTGTTTTTTGACTTCCTGTATGACCTCACTTACCTGTCAAAGCTGGTTGGGATGTTTTCTACTGCAGTACACCTTGACTGTGGCTCCCTCCCACAGAGACAAGACTTAAGACCCATTTCAGGGGGCAGTTCTCAGGAGGAATCACACCAACCATTAACACAGGACAGGGCCCTACACATTCATTATCAAGGAGTATTACCAGATGGTTGATTATGCACAGGAAACTATGTTACTGAAGAATCACAAATAATTTAAACTTCCTATCTTACTGCCATTATGAATCTCATTTTCTTCCCTAAACTTTGTGTGGCATTGACCTCAGTGGGGAGACAAAGAAACAACTCACCTTACCTGAGCCTTGACCTTACACTGAGTAGATTTCTAGGCATGTGGCAGGTGGTTGATTTCCTTGACATTGAAACTTCAAGTCAAGAGTTATTGTCACCTCTACCAGTTGTGAAGTTGATTGTGATGAAGTAACAAATTATCATGAGAACCTGTCTCCCAATACTCTTCGGGTCTGTAGAGAGATAGAGGAATGCTGCACAACATTCAGCAGGGCATCAGTAGGCCCATGGATCCGCCCACCAGTCCAGGGTGTGTTTAACAAGGCACATGCTCAGTCTATTGGAACTTCTGAAAACTTGAGTCTCTATTCTATATATTCGGGAACATCAAAACAAGCCTTCCTCATCCTTATTCAAGAATGCTTGCTGCTTGATTCAGAGCTTGCAAGGGAATCAAGATTTAACATAAATATGTAGTGTACAGGATTATTTTGTAATATTCACCAAAAACAGTCAAATTCAAGGGAGTTCAAGAGATCTCTCCATGTGTTAGAGACCCAAAGCATCTAGGTGAGGGACTGTATACAGCAATGCCCTGCACTAGTCTCCTGAAGACCTAGAGCCCCTGACAATATCCTCCCCAAGTCCAGGTGGAGTCCTCGAGCCCTTAGCAAGTGCTGGGATTATAGGCATATGCCACATTGCAGAATCTCAATCTCTGTTTTCCTGATAAATACTATTTATGATAAATACTAATATGCTAATTAAACCCAGTAAGATTAACAAAAACAATACTGACATAGAGCACACATTAAAAGAAAGTTAAAAAATAAAAGTGACTTTAGGGCTGCTGCCCGACTTCTGTGGCTCTTCTGCTGAAGTCTCACCTCGGCTCTGGCCAAGGCCAGACTTTTTTCTCTACTTTCCACTGTGACTCTCAAAACAACCCAAGATCTTCCAGGCCAGATGTGTATATACATTTAACTGCTATGAGATTAGTGCGGAGTAAGTGTATTTAGAAATTGTGTTACTGAATTTGGCTTAGAAAACTATTTTCTGAAAATTTTTTATCATCTAGCAGTAAAGAATGAAAACACATCAGTTTTAGGCAAACTGGACTTGATAGAATGCATCAAGGCAAGTAAAAGTATTGAAACTGAAAAGTGAAATAACATGTTTTCTTATGTGAAAATAAAAGCAAATACAAACTCATAAAGAGGGATGGCAAGAAGCCAGAAGGTACAATTGGGGGACTCAGGCTTCACTGGATTGGAAAAGGAAAAGGAGGTGGTGTAGGAGGGACTGAAAGGGATGAACATAGGCGAAATGGACACACAAATATGCGAGTCAAACCCTAGCATTCTGTAATACTAACAAGCACTGCTGTAAATAAACAAAGTATGCTAACTTTTTATTTCTTCATAATGGTACTTCATTGCTTTTATGTTAGAATCATTACTAAAGTGCCTTCCCTTTTGGGAGAACTTTGGATGATTATGCATGCCTGCCTCACTGAATATCCCCTTGAAATTAATACCACAAAATCATTCCAACTTTATCTAGAGGTAAGTGATACTTCGCGACAAATAATTATTAGTGATATTAGCTATTCATCAGAGGAAGGCACTAAATGCTGGCAATAAAAATGGAGGGGACATTTAATTGATTGATTAAAGATGCTCTTACTACTGAAAATAGTTTTAATAGTTCCTTTCTTCATATATGAATTCCAAGGCCCATGTTTGTGTGAACTTGAAGGCTAAATGGTAGCATGGAAGTGCAGCGAGCCAGCAGAATGAGTCACAGGCAGTAATAAGCATTCTCGAAGAGCCGTTGTGCCATGGCTACCACATGACTAGTCCCATTGATCACATAAAGAAGGGCTCAAACAAGCGGTGGTACCAACAAGTTTGGTGGGGTTTGTTTCGCAGATATGCTGAGGGGGAAAACAAAAAAAAAAGAAAAGGAAGATTTATTCAGTCATATAGTACCTGGCCTTTAAATGATATTTATTGAAATCTGAAAATTTAAGAGATTTGAAAATCAACATCAAATTTGTGTATTCCATTTGTAGACAATTCAATGCTGAATTTTTCACAGAAACAATAATTTGAGCTTTTTTTCTATTTTGTATTTTAGGACAAGTTGCACACAGTATACAAAGTTTCACCGTGTAGATTGGCCTCACTGTAATCCTCCTGTTTACCGCCTCCCAAATGCTAGGATTACAGGCATGCAACAACATGTCCAGTTTCAATGGCCATTCCAGCACACTCTGGAGGCTAGGCCAGAATGGCAGGCCAGGGGTGAAACCCTGGCTGCTGTGTCTCCCTGAGCAGGCGCTTTAATCTGCTGAGCTGTATGACCATCCTAATTTGATCTTAAAAGAAGCTCTATATGGGAGATTAAATGAAAGTTATTCATTTTTAGTTATTCTAAATATTTAATATGTTTAAATATTACTTCAGTTTTCAAATGTTGAAGATGATATAAATTTACAAAACATTCATTTATGAGGGATTAGAATAAGAAAAGGCTAAACTTTCATCAATTTTACTTCAGAATAAATTACACATGCAATATGCTGG